GGTAGGTGCTGTGCACACACAGTCAAAAACAATCATTTCCCGAAAGAACTTACAGTTTAGGAGACACTAAAGGCTGGAAGGGAAACAGAAGCACGGAGACAAAGCAACTGCCCAATTGGGTCTCCCAGCGGAGCTAGGAGTCAAATCCAGGTGTCCTGAACCCTAATCTGGTGTAAGGATGTTAAATTGCGGTTAATTGACTAGTTGAGTAGTCGATGGAATTTCCATCGACAGGCACTTCCACATTCCTTCTTTGAAATGTATAAAGAGCCCCTGCTGAGCTCTTGCACATTTCAAAGGAAAAAGGTGGAATTCCGTGTGCAGCCTGGGGCCAGCCGGAAGTCCTGCTGACTCTGGGCTGCAGCGGGTGTGCCTGCTTTGAAATGTATGAGGGTCCCCAGCGGGGGTCTTGTGCATTTCAAAGCCATGGAGCCTGGGGTCAGCAGGGGGACTCAGAATCCCCCACTGACACTAGGCTCCATGCTGCGCTGCATGCTGTGTGGAGCCTGGGGTCAGCTGGGGACTCTCCAGCGGAAACCGGGATCAGCTGGGGACTCCCCAGATGACCCCAGGCTACACTCCACTGCCTCTTTGAAACGCCGAGGCAGGGTTTCAAAGGGGCAGCCGCTGCTGCCCCTTTGAAATGCCCAGCTGATCCCGGGTTTCACTGAAATGCGCAGATCCCAGGATTAGCTCGGGAGTCGCCAACTGACCCCACGCTCCAAGGCGCTGCCCTTTTGAAATGCCAAGTGCTCAGCTGTGCAGCACTGCCCCTTTAAAGCGTCGTCTTGGCGTTTCAAAGTGGCAGCACTGCACAGCTGATCCCTGGCTCAACTATGCGGCTGCAGCCCCTTTGAAATTCCATCTTGGGTTTCAAAGCAGTAGTGCCACACAGCTGATCCCTGGCTCAGCTGTGTGGCGCTGCCACTTTGAAGTACTCATTCATCCTCCCCTTTTGCTGCCTCTATCTGAAAGAGGTGGCGGGGGCGGGAATTGACTAGTCAACTGACTATCCAATAAGCATTTTCTTATTGGACAGTAGACTAGTCCTTAACATCCTTAATCTGGTGCCTCATCCATTTGCTCTTCTGGGTTAGAAACAAACTTTCAACTCTTGACAAAGAGGATTTTTCTCCCTCCTCTCTCCTGCCCGGTTAAGACATTAAGCATTTTCTCTACTAGACAAGAAATTACCTGAAGCAGATGATAGACTGAGACATTTTTGCATCTAGAAAACAGGTATTTTGATATTTTTAGATGTTCTTGTGGCTCTGAGCTCTCCACAATCCGATTAGTTAATTAGGGCATCCAGTTTACAGGTGGAGTGATACAAGAGACAGAGTCTGAATCCTCTCTCTAAAAACTCAAACATTCCTAAACATTTTCCCTGTGACAAATGAAGCACACACAGAGTACATGATGGTGTAGCGACACGAAGGTTTCATTAGCACTCATTTGGGCTGAGCTGCCGAATGTACTCATGAACAAGAGCATTCCAACCATACACCAATAAAACTCTTTTCAATGTCTCTCACTCACTTACACTCTTCCTCTCACATACATACCTATACTAAATTGTCTTTAGTCTCACCTGTCTACTTTTCCCAAGATCAAGGTTGGAGAGTTGAGAGCTAGGTGATTCTCTGGAGGAGAACACAGGGCTGGGTCTCATTGCTGAGACATGCCTACATTACAAGAACACATACCGTGGTAATAACTAGTAATAGAGATGTAGCAGTGTTAGTCTGGTCTTTCTGAAACAAAAGAGGACTATGCAGCACTTTAAAGACTAACAGGATGGTTTATTACATGATGAGCTTTCGTGGGGCAGACCCACTCCTGTGAGTCTTTAAAGTGCGGCATAGTCCTGTCTTTTGTGGTAATAACGAGTAACTCCAAATCAAGGATAGGAGCCAATCTGTGCTGGACTCTCTTGAAAGCAGAGGCACTATGAACCAATATGTAATTGAAACAATCTACAGTCAACTCACTGAACTGCTATGGGAAGATTAGTGCAAAATGGGAAACAAAATACCCCAAATTGTATGGGAAAGCAAACACGGTATCTCAAGCTAATATTTAATCTTAAGCAAATATCCAATCCTTTTCTCCATGGTCATCATTCATGCACACCCATAGGCCACAGGCTGCTTTGGAAGCAGAAGGAATTGTTTTAATCCCCTCTGTAATACTCTCATAGCAAATAGGCGGGTGCTGAATTTCGCTGCCTTAATGTTGCTTAATTTCCCTGAGCTAGCAATCAAGATTATAAGGTTCACCAAATCAAACACTAAACAATAAGAACGAGAAATTCTGGTAAAAATGGAGCTCCACACCTTTGCTCTTGAAAGCCTTTGCAGGTAGAGAATTCTTGGGGTGGTGGGTATGCCAGGGAGTTGTGTTCAGGCTCATTAACAAAGAGGGTCTATTACTGGCTTCCGCTTGTCACAAACCGAGGGAAAACTCAGTGTGAATCGTCAACCGTGAACAGGATAAAGACAGTATCTTATCTGTGTGCAATACACACACATCAGCTTATAAATGTCCTCAGAGGAGACCAGGTGAGCCGATAGCCATGCTGGGCTCTTGGGCAAGGATGGGGTGGGCTGGTTGCATGCACCAGGAAGGGGAGGGGCCTTGGGAAGAAGGGGTGGGGCCAAGGCAGCCAGCCTGCAGCGCCACCCAGAATGCACCATGCCATCACACTCCAGCCCACAGGGCTGCCAGGAGCATGCCCTGTGATACTCTGGAGGTGATTTAAAAGCCCAGGGCTCCAGGTATTGCTGCTGCCACAGTAGCAGCAGCAGCTCCGGGTCTATTAAAATCGCCGGGCCCTGGGGCAACTCTCCCGGCCGTATCGACAGGCCTGAATGAGACCAATTGATAGGCAAATTACAGTAAATTGCTCTTTTAAACACTCAGTGTAAATCATGAAATATCACTAAAACCAAACTTTGGGGAATAATTACCTCTTGAACGAGCAGTCAGGGATTTCCCTGTGTAAAGCATTTTCCTCAGTGCTGGGAATTCCTGGATTTTGTACAATCTCTGGAACGATGAAATAATCAAGCCTAATTATCCAGAACAAAGATTCTCAACACATTTATGGCAGAAATGCTTATGGCACAAGGGTGAATCACCCATCTGCTTTCAAGTAGAGACAGCTTTGTGTTATTTGGAGCCTCATCCAGGACTGTGAGAAGGCTTAAAAAAACCAACACACACACACCCAGGTAACATGGAACAAGCAAGCAGTTTTGTGCACTCTACATAAATACTCCATGTCTCTTTGTCCAGTGTTTGCAAAAATTAAATCTGGATTAAACATTTATGTACACCACCAAAATCAAAGGGATTGTGAAGACCGTGGATGACACAGATGACACAGATTAGAGCAATGGATGGCATGAGCAGCACAGGTTCAAAGAGTGTCTGTGAAAGATTTGACCAACCAAACATAGCCATCAACTGTAAGGCAAATGCAGCATATTATTTCAATATTGCTCACGTCTCACCTGTTCAGTATAACTAAATGCTGTAGATGTGCAAGAGAAACGTGTGCTCTGGAACATAGGAACTGCCACAAAGCTCAGACCAATATCTAGTTCTGCATGCTGTCACTAAAAGGAGATAGTACAGATGCTTCAGAGGTAGGTGAGAGAAACCCTGAAGTAGATAGTTCTAGGAAGACCTGCCCACCAGAATTTTCCTTCCAATTCCCATTAGAAGTTGTCTTGAGCCCTGAAAACAGGAGGGTTTATTATATTGGTACAGGATGGAGAAATTCTGACAAAACTTTGAGGGGACCAGAATTTTCAGATATGTCAAAAATCACAATATGTTGCAGCAATCACTCAATTATAAAGACGTTCCAGTGGAATTCGGGCATGGTTCTGATTGAACTCTGCCTGCCTGGTGGAGCACCAGGCTCTTCCAGGGAGCATTTCTAAAAAGTTAGATTTTTGTTCTGAATCAAAAGGAAACATTGAACTCCTCTGTGAATTGGAATTCCTTCTCCTTGTACAGCTCTAATTTATATTCCTTCCAAAATGCTTGGTTGCTCTTTTCATACTTACAGTACAAACGTCAGATATTCTTGTTACGTGAATCAACATCTAATCCTTTTCTGAATCTTGCTAAGCTTCGGGGTCAATGACTGGGAAAGGAAATGATCTCTGCCCTAAAGAAGCAATCCTAAGAAATATGTAAGGAAACATTTTAAACTGTGGGAGTAACAATGTTAACATCAGGAGTGTTATTCTGCACGAGCCAAAGCTCTTAATCTGAAACATTGGTCATTTTGTACACAAAGTGAAAAAGTCTGAGGAAAAATTAAATCAATCTATAAAATACCATAGAGACTGGGATGTCAGATGGCTACAGAAAGGAATCAGGTGTCAAGAAAACATTTCTTGTGGTGTCACCTCAGGCAAGTTACTTAACCCGTATATTCCGAGGATTTTAAAATGTTCATAGCACCCAAGCTGTCCACAACACTTTCCCTAGAGGAAAGGTTCTATAGAAAGTTACTGTTTCGAATGAATCACAGAGCAGCTTGTTCAACCAGACACAGCACATAATTTAATCAGATTTTTCTTAAGCTATGGCAATGATTGTAAAAACTACTACTTAGGCAGCCAAACAGAGTTCTCCAAAAATAAGTTACAGCTTTATGACCTGAACAAGTTATAGTATGATCTCATCCAAGAGATTTAAATAGCAGGAATATCGGTCAGACACCAGCAACTTATTTAGCAGAGTTCATCATCAGTTCATTAGCTCTTGTCTGCATAAGCAGGTGCCAGGGTATTCAATCAGAGCTAAAATACATGCTTTAAAAAAGGGATGGCGGTGAATGATTCTACCAATCTACAGAACCACCAACACAGAGGGAAGAGAGACTCTGGGAGAAGAGGAAAATGATCAGTACTCAAGGGGAAAGTAGCAATCAGAAAAGGACAGAATTTCTCTCAGAGAAGTATTACATGCACAAGTGTCTAAATTGTTAAAAACTTTTATTTGTGACAGTAAAGAAACCATTCAATACCTGATTGACAACACTTCTCTCTCCTCAAAACACTCATACTGTATATGTAGTGTTTCTCAAGTATTGCTGGATTGTTCATTGCATTAAAGTGTAAACAGCTCCATTATTAGACAAACAAGCAATATGTCCATTGCTTACTCCTCTTAATTTCCCAGAAGAGTTTTAACAAAAAGTTAGACAGCTGGATTTTACAATAAAATATGAACAGAAAACTAACAGCTCTTTTTGCATAGTTAACCTATAGAATTTCAAGCAATTCCCCAACCCAAGTCTTACCTGCCTTCCTCCTCACCACACAAAAGGCATACATCACAGCACCTTTGAAATCAGAGGCACAAACTTTTTTTTTTTTTAACAATAGGGCTGTGCGATTCTGTGTTTTATTAGTAAAAAATTCTGTAAGACATAGGTTTGTGTGTGTTTGTAAATTATATCGCTACAGACTTTTTACATTGAAATTTCAAAGCTGCAACCCCAGTACAAGCCAGTGCAATTTAGATATTTTATTGACCCCCCTCAACCACTCTAATCAAAATCATGCCATGATAAAGTGATTGAACACACTGAAAATCGAAGCTCTGCAGGTGATGGGTTTCTTCCATGTATAACTTCACTGTTTTTTGTAAAAAGCAATTAAAGGGAAAAACAAGAGACAGGTTTTTTTCTCCAAAGTTACCTAAATGAATACAGTAGTATTGTACATTTGCTAAAATCTTTCATTCAAAACCTCATGGTGTTTAACAAATATTCTGCGCACAGCCCTAATTTACAGATGGCAATTTAATCATAACATTTTAGTTGAATTTCAAGAATCTATGGCACTCTGCCTTACATTTTAAATAAAAATATATATATTTATATATAATCTTCCCCCTTTGCAGGCAAATAACCTTTTTTTAACCCAACACAAAAGGACAACGGAACTTCAGGTCAGGCAGCATTTCTTTAGCTGAACTGAATGATCCACTGGGAAAGACTTTTAATAGTATTGTGGTAATATCTGGGAATTATAATTGAAAGACAAGGCTTATAACAGTCTTGGTGACATACATGCAGCATGCACTACTGCACTGGGAAATATGGAAGAGCTTTGGGAAACAATTAGATTTTTTGTTTTTATTTTCAAATTCTCATTCAATTAAAAGTAAAACCAAAATTATATTGCAATTTTTACAAACATTCTATTTGTTTTTCTGGGATTATATTTAGAACTATAGTGCTTTGTTAAAATCTAGGTGCTTCAAATATATAGTTAGTTATATGTAAATCAAAAGAGCTTATAAAAATCTGGATTTTTTAAGTGTGGGAAAATAAAGTGCAAAAAAAGGTATATATGATAATTGCTCATATACTGTAAAAAATCCAAACACTTAGGAAACCTAAAGCTTGATCTTATACAACCACCTCATTTGATATTAGAAGGAATCGGGTATTATCCAAAAATATTTTCATGTTCTAGAGTGACTTACCATGATTAGAACTCAAACAAAAATCATATATAAAATGCACTTACAATATTCGCATGGATCAGAAATGGTAATATGTAAAACCCCTGATTTTGTCATTTTTGACCACTGCGTGTTATTTTGTATGCTGTATCAGCTGAAATTATAAAGCCAATTTTTTTCTGGAACTTTTTGAATTACATGAGCCCAAACAGTATTAAAGCTATATGGAAACACCACAAATATAGTGATTGAAAAGAAGTTCAGTTGTCCATTACATGTTGATTTCAAAACAATACAAGTCACTTTTATATCAACATTCATTCAGAGACATTTAAGGCAACTGGTTCATGAAATCACTGCTTTTATAAATGCGAACAGCTAATAACATGGTTCGTCTTATGTACAACAGATCACAACTGTTTAAATGGCAATGGGTCATGAAGGAGTTATTCACTGTCTAATTGGTCTAATACTTGTGTGAAAATCTTTGAATTATTTTCAGCCATTCTCATCATACCTGCACAATAAAGTACAACCTGAATACTTCCCTGCAGACTGCATCTGAGGCACAAAGGTCACAAATACAGTTAAAAATACTGCTCAGAGAACAACTTTTTGGCAGTTTATGGTTTTGTTACTCTGTATTCCAAAAGAAAACTAAACATCTTAGACTGAACACAAACTTAATGGACTAACCAGAATCCATACGTCCTTTTAAACCATCTAGATTTTTTTTCAATTGTCAGAACTTAGTTCTGGCATAAAAACATACAGTACTAAGGTAATCACAACTGGTAACAGAAAGAAACAGTTATGTTGTACAGAGTCAAATGTTATGGTACTGCTTAGAACACCTTCACTGAGAAAACACTGCGAGCACAGTGCGAAGCTGCACTGCAAGGAGACAAGTCCTTTCTTGGTCTTATACTGCACCTGTGATAATCTATTCCATACCTGTGTAGGCTGGCCCACCCTTTTAGGAATTAATTTATTAAACTGCTTAGTAAATGTTTTAGTCAATGACAATAATCCAGGTCAGCTTCTTGTAATTCCTATTGGTCATACTTGTAAAAAGGCAACCTGTAACTACCTTGTGGCATTTAAAAGTAAGCTAATTAAAGCACCAAATACTTAGTTTAGCTTTCTTTGATGCCTGCCAAGTATGGCTAATTTGTATGACTAGATTTTTACTCATTCACCAATGGTTAACCAGGAGAAGAAAAAAAAGGTTGTGCATTTTTGCTTCAAAAGGCTTAAAACTAAAAAGTTAGAAATGTTTTGAACATCAGAAATTCAAGTTGTGTCTATCCTGGATGAATGAAAAACTAGTGTAAACAAATGAAAGCCAAGTAAACTGAAAAGACAGTTTTTAGTTAGAATGTTAAAAAAATATAAAATCGATTTAACTCCAAAGTCTAAAGTACACTCTAGAGAAAGGAATTCTGATTTAAACATACCTCCAGCATGGGTGATATGGCTCCCAACCTGCAGCTGAGACTCTCAACAAATTTGCAGCAAAAACCAGGAAAGATCAGTTGACATTTTGAAGGAAAAAAACCAAAGCAGGAGAAAAAAAGCCCCCACTTTAAAATAAATTGGTCTCATGCCTCCATTTTGCTTCTTTATGGTGCATAAAGGAGCAAAAGGCATTTTCCAAAGTCCTTTGCAGGTCACCTTTAACTGAGTTATCTGGTATATCAGATCCACACGTTTACCACATGCAGGTGGGATCTATTACCTGCATTTCATTTATTGCCCAAATTTGCATCTTAAAGCAAATGTTTTTGTAGCACAGGCACAGTGGCAAAAACAGTATAACAGCCGATGGTCAACTCCATTTGGTGAGTATATAGTAGCAGCAATTAAGAGGAAAAAATACTCTTAACAGCTCAGGACACATCCAGCTTACCCAGGTGGGTTTTAGTAAGAAAAGAATTTAAATCAATAAATAGATTCTCTGTATTCTCTCCCCCCCAAACAAATATAATGGGTTTCTCACAATGGTGTTTTTAAAAATTGGAGAGGCATGGCAGTTGTGTGCAAGCAGAGATAATAGAACTTGATCCATCTAGCATAAAAGGTGCTTGAGATCTGTTTGTCACTGCATTTTCCCAATTCTATCATTCCCTAAGAACCAAACAACTGCAGATATGTTCAAACTGGTCCAAAATGAGTAAGACCATAGTGATACAAAAATGAAATCACCCTTCCCCAAATTCCTAAACCTTTTGAGCATGACAAAGTGTAATTAATATAGCATAACATCACCATGGAGGCAGGACTCCCAGCATATTTGTTTCAACTGTTTCCTTTGTTACCATATATTACAGTGCTCTATAAAAATTTTCCTTTTTCCTTTTTAAAGCGTTTAGACAATACAAGACTAAAAGATGTCTGGAAATACACCTTATACAAAAATGTCTTAAAATAACATTCAAAAAGGCACTTCATTCTGTAAGAAAAAAATTCAGAGTCAGGTCAACTGCTCTAAGCAGAGGGTGAAACTGTCTGCATAGTGGGAGGGGGAAAGATTTGACTGCTGAAATATAACAAGCTTTTTTTTTTTGGCATGTTTTAAGAAAAGCTGATCCAGTAAAATGTGGCCACTTATGAAAGTCATTAAAAGAGTCCCATCGAAAATAGCTTCTTTTTTTCTTTAAAAAAGGAGTCTGAACGTGTGACCTTAGGTTGTCAGACTTCTGAAGGCTTAATAGCATCACTCATGACTGTCCTTCGTGTACAATGTAACAGGAAGATCAAAAGTAGCACTTCTGACAGGAGTGGCCTTCTCAAAGCTTATGTTTGAAAGAGCTGTGAGAGATGGAGAGCGTCTGTAGCAACTGCAATCAACCTGCGCCAGTCAGATTTAAGGGCTACCTGTTGCAAAGTTTGTGAAGCATACTGTAAACTTCTTCCTCTCTGCTTAGTCCTTCAAAGAAAGGAATAAGATCTAGCAGCTCTGTGTCCATCATGTCATCAAACCAGGACTGCACAGGCACCTGAAACAGAGAAAGAATAGAAGAGGTTTTGCTACATCAAAAACATTTGTACACATTCCATCTTAAGTCAGAATCTTAGCTTACAGCACCTACTGCAGCTAATGGCCATGATAAAGAAAAGATATTCATCTGTAACCGAGGTTCAAGTACAATGCCCGTTGAGAGCTACGTTCTTTGAAACATTCTTGCATTCCCACTTCAGGACTGGAACCTCTAGAAAGCTAACTGCAGATTTTCTTTCCAGATATGGAATGTTCCAAAAAGCAAGGTTACATGAGACATGGCACATCCCTTTCAATGTTTTCTGCCCAATCCAGAATAGCCTAAGAAGGGTGCAAACTACAAATTTACACTGAGAGTCTACTTGGAAAAAAACCAGTTACAGGAGAGTCTCCTTTCTTTCTCGGAGTACTGTCAATATAGATGGCTATGGATGAAAGAAGAAACCCTTAAAGAAATATGACAGAGGAGGAAATATCTGAACAATGAATATGCAACTGCTTTGTACTGAACACCAGATTTTGAGGCCAGGTTCAGAGAATAATGCTTCATAAAAGTGTAGAGTGGACTCTAGGGAAGAATTTTGTCTATTACCGCTATGGGATCTTACAGAAATAATACATTTTAGAGTCTGTCTTGGATCTAGTCACAACCTCTGGTGCCTCCAGGGACTGGAACAGCCACTAGATTATAGTGTTTTTCCACTTACAATTTACTCAGATTCTTAGTATTGGATTTTTTTTTTAAAACATCAAAGAGCGGCCTGGAGCTGGCTTTGAATCTCAACCATCAGTACTGATTAGAATTGAGGCAAAAGATGTGAAAAGTTAACTGGTAAGCAATACACCCTCAATGGGTGATGCTTACTCATTTCAGTTAACCAGGGGGGCTGGAGTAGCTCCCCACCGTCTCTGTGGTGTCTCCGGAGCATATTGCAGGCCTGGGCTGCTCTGGACATCCAGAGATGCCCATCCCCAGTGGGGGGATTCTCTAGCCTGGTCATGGCAGGGGGAGAGCAGCTGGAGAGCCCCCCCCCTTTACTGGTTAACCAGTTAAACTTCAAATTTAATCAGTTAGCTAATTAAACAGGATTTTATATCTCTAGTTGAGGTTTCTGATCCTTGTACAGAGAGCTAGTAAAATAAACTGAAGCCTTATGTGGTACTAAATAGGGTAAGGGTTCTCACAAGCATCAATGCCGGCATTAGGATTGAGGGTCTGAGTTCAGAAATGTGATGTTTTAAGACAAAATTTACTTTAAACTCTTCACTTTATACCATATCAGCTAAAAACTACACTAAATCTAAAAACTAACAATCAAATAATCCTTCAAAAAAGGACAATGCCTTATGAGCAACTTAAGAGAGTCCCAGCTTGTTGTCCTGGTGGCTAGCAAGAAAAGTGTATGTGCGTCTTTTAAGAGTGGTTGATGGAGAGGTCTCTGTGCAACCCGCAACTGCAAAAGCTTGCCAATGGGTTGCAACCTTCCCATGGATTGTGCTGGTTAATTAGTTACTAGCTTGTCTATTAACTTCACTAATGTGAAAAAGTTGGAATATCCAAAGCAGTTCAGATAAGCCACTGAATAAATAAATAAAAATCATTTTAAGGTCTTTGAGTAAATATCCTCTCTCTTAACAGCCTGTACTGGGAGTGTTTACAAAAATTTCAGACTGTTTAGTGTTTTTCTGCACAATTAGCACTGTCTTAAAAAAGATGCCCAAAGCTAAAAACTGAAGGAGAGCTAGGCATAAGAAAGATGAACTGGAAAAACAGCATGGAGACATCTGGCTTGTATCTAACTACATAACAGCTAGCACTAGAACCCGATCTTTTACTTAAAAGTTTTAGAGAATGCTCATGTTGTTGACATAGTTAACACTCTGAAAATAAATTTAAGTACATAATATTGCCTGAATGTGAAACCCTGACCATGGAAGCCCAAAGAAGGAACACTAGTACTTGGGACCACTTACTGCATTTTCAGGGTGGAAGATGTAGGATGCAGGAGAGTTATCCACTATAATAACTTTACTTAGTTCTCGTCCCAGTCGACTCAGATCCTTCACATAATTTCCTCTGTGGAAAACACAGGATTCTCTGAAGAGTCTCGCCCTGAACACACCCCACCGATCCAACAAGTCTGCTACTGGATCCGCATACTTAAAGACAGAAGTTAATATAATTGAGAAGTTAAAAAAACTGAAATCTCATGTCTGTAGGCATCACAATGTTTTCTAGAACTAAACATTAAGGATAAATTAAAAGGACAATTATAGATAGAACTACAATCTGCTTTGCTTCAGCTTTTCTCCTTAATATTAATTTACATGCTAGTAAAGCTAAGATCATTAATAAATTGATAACAGGACAGCACTGCAGTTATCTTTCAGAAAGAAATAACTGTACTATAAATCTTGCTATGATTTACTAATTATCTTAACATATTTCAATATGGCCTTTTTATATTTGTCCTGCAACTTCTAAAAGGGAAAGAATCCAGAGATCGCATATAACACTCCTGTAAAAATGCATGAAAAAGGGAAACCTAGAGCATGATACTACTTCCGCAGCTATCCGTACCAAATCCAGTTCCTTGTACCTGTGAAGTCAAGAGTAAAGGAGGAAACATCTGACTTGGCCCAATTCATGATGTGCCGTTAACAATACATGTTGACTTGTAATGTCAGCAGGGATCTGAAGATCCCAAAAATATGCACACTCTAGCCATGAAAGGACAAGCAAAAATATTAATAAATATACCCATTTGTAACATTTTGTTGGCTTTATTCAAAGGAAATACAAGTACCACAGGTATGAATTGTGACTCAAGAATTTATAGTAATGGTCAAAGAGAGTAGGAAGGGCAGAGACTCTTATATAAGAAACCAGTTTGTAAAAGCAGATATGATCATCAATTATAGTTGGCACAAATTCTTTGAAGGATATGTCCGATCATTGGAACTTTCCTGAAATCAACAAAAAGCAAGAGATATCTTGCTGTCAATAACTCTTTCTTTCTATTAAGACTGTTTCAAGGAAACTACTGCAAGTCCACTGCTTTGGAACTACTAAACTAGACTGAACACAAAATTGGTAAACAAATAATTCTACGCTAACAAGATGAACTAGATCAGTGTTTCTCAACTTTTTTTTTTATAAAGTACCCCCTTTTTTTAAAAAAAATTATAAATACCCCCAGTATCTACAGTTTTCAGACAATTTTTTTCTACTATTGCAACACATTTGTTTAAACAACTTAATTGTAACCAGGCAGGCGATGACATTTCTGGATGTAAAAAATACAAAAATAATAAAGCACTGTAAAATTTAAAACAAAAATTCATTTTTTTCCAAATTTCAGTGGTGCTAACGTATCCCCCAGACTTCTCTCGAGTTGACCCTAAGGGTACTTGTACCAATGGTTGAGAAAAACTGAACTAGATAATTGAACAGGGTCTTTCCCATCTCTAGAGTCCTAAGTTCCTGCTAAGCTGTGTGTCCATGCAGCAGCCTAATAAGAACTGTGCAGGTGCTCAGGGGTGCAGCGGGGAGAGATGCCTCTCCCCTAACTCCAGAGATATTGCAGCCGAAAGAGAGGCGGTACCCCTTCCCTGGTCCTAACCCAGCTCTGGCCCCACCATGTCTGGGGGATAGGTGCCTATCCTGCAGGCTCAGTGCCAGAGCTACTGTGGTGCAGAGGCACTGCTCCCATTCAGCAGTGATGTTGCTGCAGGGAGAGAGAGAAAGCTGTGAAGAATTCTCTGCTCACCACAACCACAGGGCAGCCTGCACCCCAAATCCCTCAGCTCTGACTTGCACCCCAAGCCAAAACCCTCACTCCCCAACCTTCTATCCCAGCTCTAAGCCCTTCATCCCCAGCCCTGCCAGAGCTTTCTCCCTCTCCCCCTCCCCCCCTCCAGAGCCCTCAACCTCCATAGCCCAACCCTCTGCCCCAGCCTTGAGTCCCCTTCCACACTTCAAACCTCTTGACCTCACCCTGCCACATGAATTTGTGTCTGTGCACCAATACAGAGGTGATGTGTCACGCATCACCTCCGTATTAGTGCCCATAAAATTCATTTTGCACATGTTTGAGAAAAATTAGAGGGAACATTGAGCCTATGGAAAACCAGAAAAAGATCAGAATTTAATTTACTTTATAAAATATTTAAATAGGATAAATTAAAAAAAATTAACAATCAACTGATTTAATTTCAAAATCAAAACCACAAATACAAATACACTGATAATACTGCATGACTAAAATTGCGCTCTCTCCACTACAAAACTACCTACTCGAGATACTATTTCTACCAAAGTTAGAGGGCACAAAATATTGCTTTTCAGATGCTAACGATATTGAGCTTCACAAACAGTATTTATTATTCTCAACCAAAATTATAACTGCACATCCACATGTTAGATATCTGTATCCTATGTTTTTGTACCAAAGTACTTTCTGAACTATTGGCTAGCTACAGAGCATAGCATAGCGAATTTCATGCCCAACTTTAATATACTGCTTCATGTAGTACACTATTTGTTCTAATTTCCCACTATAACCATGGTAACTTGTAAGCCTTTCATATTGGCATCATGAGCAATGCATGGAGGCTACATTATGAGACAAGCCCATATGTGATATTGTTACCATGGAAACACTTACCCACACACTAGCAGACAAAGTACACACTGTTAGGCAAAGAAGCAGAAAGGGGAAAAATTAAGATCATTCCAAGTGAGGAAACAATCATCCACAGAAAAGCCAACCAAAATGTCCAATAACCAGCATTATAAAAACTAAGGAGAAAGAAGAGACTATGGCAAACCTTGGCTAGACTGGCTGTGAAGAGTACACACTCAAAGAGCTCTCCCATCCTCTGGAGAAACTCATCCACATGTGGTCGCTTCAATACATAAACCTGGAATGACAATATCTGTTTAGGTCAAATGAGGTTTAAGACAAAAAGACTGGAGTTAGACTAAAATTAGTAGGCAGAACTAATGTGCGACACGGAAGGCTAAGAAGAAGGAAAAGGCTGATGTAAGACAAAGGAAGCATAATATTCAATAACAAAATATTTGAACATATATACTTGATTGTCCCATACTGACTGCACACTGGTAATACTAGGTCCTGCTGGAAAGATACATTCTTAAAATAGAGACAAAAAAGTAATGGGGCACCAACACAAGAATTATGACCCACATTTTAAAAAGTATTTAGATATTACAGGTAGAACCTCTCTAGTCCGGCAACCTGGGGACCTGACCAGTGCGGAACCAGAGAATTTGCTGAAACATGAGAGGTCAGTGTTGTCTAGCAGCATTACCAACACTTCCACATCTTACTGGGCTCTTAGAAGACATTTAGAGTAAATTAGAGCTAAATCACAGCACAGGACACTAAGAGCTAAGACTGGTAGCTATAAACAAACTTTATTGGATTGTGGGAAACTTGGCCATGCCCATGACAAGTGGACATCTGGCTAACTAAAATCATGCTGGATCACAGATGCTGCCGGACCACAGTGTGCTAGACTGGAAAGGGTCAATCAGTAATATGTTCGGCAGTGCAATGCCTCACTAATTTGAGATTTAAACTCCTATTTTCAAAAGAGATATAGGCACGTCAGAGCCAAAATCCCACTGACAGTTGATGAGATATAGGTGTCTAGATACCCAAATCCCCTTTGAAAATGAGATCCAGGCTCCTACATTAGCTAGGCACTGCTAACTGATCATAGCAGCTCTTGATTACCTTAAAAAATCTGAGAGCACTGAAAGTAGCATAACTCTTTGATGCTTATATTTCTTCAATTCTTGAAGAGTTTGAGAGGAAAACATCTGAAGGAAAGTTTTATCTGGCGCTATAAGGAATTATGAACTGGGAACATGATTCAGGTATTGAGTTCTTCCTTTTTTTCTGTTAATAAAATACTTATCTTCTGTTTTTGTTTCTGGATGCCAGATAACATATCCTATAGCTGCTTTTAAATGATATTCCAAACCCACTGATAAAATACAGGCTTTCGTATCTTCAATGGAGAAATGAGTTTCCAGGTATTATTTGTGACCAATACAGCTCAAAATATTTCAACTGAGGCCTTGTCATAAATATAGTAGATCTTCTGTGTTTTCCTTCTTTCACACAGCAATCCCTCCAGCAAAGGAGTCACTTTACTAATCTGGAGCAAGAATCAGTTGCTTATTGCAACTGATACAGCTACTAAGATTATCTGTTAAGCACCAACAGTACACTTAGTGTTCATATAAGATACAGTACAGAGATAAAGACAGTCCCTATCCAGGATGCTTACAATTGGATAAAAACAATAAACTGGGAGGATGAGGGTGGGAGTTAAATGTTTATTTTAAAAGCTTATGTTGATAGAACTGAGTAAGCAATTCCTGCCTTACCAAGTAAACTACAATACTGAAATTCTTTTAAATGCAAGCCTGGTAAATTAAGTGGGTTTCTCCCTTTAAAAGGGAATAAGTCATCAATCATAAGACAAGAACACGCAAAACTGAACTTGCTTAATGCCTTGTGTGTTATTTAAGGGAGTTATACTGGCTAACATTTATATTAGGTTAACATTAAAATGCAAAAGTGCAATGAGCCTATACATATAAACAGTGAAAAAGAAAGTTATGGCAATACTAGTCTGAACTTCATAATGTAAACATTAAATCAGTAAGTAAAGGAAGAGATATTTCATTATAAGGTCTTAAATACTGTCCAATTTATATTAAAAGAATTTACATGCAGAGCACTACAGTCTAAAGGCCTAAGTGGCTAGATCAAAATGCTATGTAGCTTCCACTTTGGGTGGTAGTGTGCCAAACTGCATGAAGCTCAGACCAGTTTGCTGGATTAGATTACTCTTACTGAATTGGAACTATGCCATCTGAGCCACATTTGCACTTGGAAGCAGAGGACAATTTGTAAGCTGGTTTTCATTTTGATTCCCTATTTCTTTTTAAATATTGCCTTGGCAAGCACCTGACCCTACTTAATAAAATAGTTGTTTAATGGCAGGAATTAAGTTTAGAATAGATATTAGAAAAAGATTGCTACTCTTTTTCCAGATAACTGAACTGTAAATTCTTGGATTTCAATAGGAGTGTGGCAAGAATTCTCTTTCCTCTTTTAAGATAACCACTAGTTTTTCATTAAAAAGCTAGCCTCAGAGATATTTTGTTGACTAGGGTTTACCTTCCAAATGCAACTTTTACAACACATACGTAAGAAGTGCAGTTTCACAAACTCAATCATTTATAATGCTCCTTCTAACAATTTACTTCCCTTCTGTAGACCCAAGAAACCAAGGGTGGCAATAGTGGGAGCATTCCATCAATTTAAGTTTATTTTTTAGCTTCTGGGACTCAGGACAGAAAATAAGTTAAGGTACAACAAAAGAAATAGAAAATAGCAAGGTACCTTACTCATTAATTCTTTGTACATTTTAGCTTTATATTCTCCTCCCAACGTCCCTATGTACATAACAGTCCCAAAAATGTGAGAAACCTCTTTCTAGCATACTGAAACAATCTATGCAAAGATGAGAAGTTCTGTGCCTTATTAGTGCTTTTCCTTTTTAACAGTGCAGTCACACTAAAACAAAGAATTCCCCCACCTGCATTCACTAGGTTACAAATAATGTTTTTTCTTGTGGACCGATTAGAAAGTCCAAGCCAAGCATTTAGACTGTGGGTGTTTGGAATATAAATTGTTGCTTTCCTATGTGCCAAGGCATATAGTAAAAAACTGAATTTCTGGATTATTAACTGACTGATAAATGTTGGTTGAAATAGAAATACAATTTGAAATTCTTTTCCGTGTCTTTTACAAGAGCTTCTAGTCAACTACTTAAGGGCTGCCACAGAACTAGACATACTAGTCAATGGCTCTCTACATGAAGCAGCTTTAGATTATGATACAATATTCCAAGTCTTTTCCTGCCTCCGACTTTAGTTTCTCCTCTTTTTTATTCTGTTTTCCCTTTTTATGACACTTGGGCACCTATCACTAGATTTTCTCCTCATTATTAATTCAGATATCTTATGCGTATGAGTTCTTAGTACATATTATGTAACCACTTCCAATTTCTGGATAATGTATAACTATTTCCTGCTTCCATATGCACACACACTCACAAAAATCTTCGATCAAACAGCGTTTTCCTAAACAAGGTTTCTTAGTGCTTCAGAGTGGGAGCATTTCTCTATAGAAGCTGCTTTCTGAAAAGTTATTATTAGGTACTGGTATCAACTGCAAGATGTTTTCCTCCTTTCAGACAGGAGTTGCTCCAGCAAAGGAGCCACTTTGCCATTTTGCAGCAAGAACAAGTAGCTTATTGCAATCAATACAGCTACTAAAATTATCTGTTAAATACCAACACATGATCAGGTAGTTGAACTACAAAATCCCTTGGTCTTCACACAAACCTTTTCTCCATTTGATAGCACAGTTCTTTTCTCCTCTGCTGCCTTACGTTCTCGTTTAGTGTATTATTTTCTTTGCTTCATTAGTTACTGGACTTGAATCTCAATGTTGCATGGTTATTTGTGGGCTGGCTTTTTTCCTGTTATATAATGTCTTCAGTTTAAATCCCTAGACTGACTGACTCCTGGCTTTTCTCTCAGATTTACATATGGTCTTCAAGGCAGGAAAAACTCATTTCTTTCATATCTACTTTTTGGGATGCCATGCTTGGTTAAATATCTCTCTATTCTGAAAACAGTTTAAAGGATATCATTGCTTTTTTATTCTCTTGGACGTTAACATTTAAAAGATATTTTCAGGCTTTAGGCAGAGTCTCACAATACTGCATATATTTGTCAGTTAGAACTGTTATAGGTGGCATAATTAAATGTAACTATTATAGAATCTATTTACAGATATGTTTTCTGTGTCACCTGAAAGGCTCACAGGTGAAGAATGAAGCATTTATAAACAGAACAGTATGCTTTATTGTAATGTTAGAAATAGGACCATATAATTGGATTTTAAAAAATTAGTTTTAGGATTTTGGAATCTTCATGCAATAGCAAAAAAGTCTGACCAAGACAACTCAAGCACCTGTAAATCTTCATTTCACCAGGCATACACTTCCTATTAACAGAGAGGTGTAGGGTTGGGGCTGGGAGGGGGAAGAGGGAGAATAACTGTGGATTCTTGAGTCTTCACATATCTGGTTCACTTTGTTGTGGTTGCCTCCCAGTGCAAGTAACCAAGAATAGGCCAATTAGATTGCACACAGCCTATCCTGGATTACTTGAACCAGGTCACAGCCTTTTCCAGGAGAATAACTGAGAAACTGGTTCCTTTAGGAAGAGGAAGTCTGTATTTAAAGTTGTTCCCCACTGGAAAAAAAAAAATCACACAATATTCTAAATAAACTTCCTAAACATTTCTCTTATTTTCATTGACTAAAAATATTTTTTTCCTTTTTCATATATTGTTAAAATTTTGAACGACTAATAGTCTTATTCATTACAAAGTATGGCAACTTTAGATCAAAGTCTGGAACAAGAACTCAGTCTAAAACTAGGCCAAATCAAACAGTAGGTGGCTGTCATTTCTGCTCTTCATCATTCAAGTGTATGACATGAATTATGTTAGGTAAGGCAACCTGGATTATGGACAAAACTACCTATACTTAGGATCCTTATAATCATCATATGGAGCGAATGAGGGCTGTGTCAGCGTCAATACTTCCTTCTATAAATATTGTGTTAAGCAAGTTACCAAAAGCTACCATATAGTGCACAAAACATTCCAAAGACCAACTCCAAACTTCTGAGTCACTTCATTTAAAATCTTGAGACGGGTAGCTGAGTTAGTCTGTCAATGGAAACACTTAAAAACAATGAATAGTCTAGCAGCACCTTAAAGACTAACAAAACATGTGGATGGTATCGTGAGCTTAAGTGGGTTGTACCCATAAAAGCTCATACCACCGCCTACATGTTTTGTTAGTCTTTAAGGTGCCGCTAGACTATTTGTTGTTTTTCAACTTTTTCATTTAAAACGTTATCCATCTTTTCCTAGCCAAATGAGTATACCCTACTGGTGCTCTGGGATGCTAGAATTAAAGCCTCCAAATGCATGGCTTCTAAACCTTGAGGTCACAACCACCTGGCCCTTCCCAGGGTATTCTCTGGGAAGTGAATTCCAGGGAGAGATGGCCCTGGTATGGAAAATGTAAAAATTGCAGTCTGTAAAAGGTTGAGAAACAATGATGTATTGTATTGCCCAGGACCATCTCAACCCTTGATAAACCTCTTCAAAACAAACTTAATAAACTAAACAAATCTGTTTAATTGACCTGACTTCTGGTTAATAATTTGAGCACAGGATTGCTTTGATTTGCTCTCTCAAATTGGAGGGTCAGAAATTTTGGGGAATAGAAATGCTATTACAGGTTGTACCTTCCTTAACCAGGACTCCCTGGTCTGGCAACATCCGTGGTCCAGCAAGACCACATCCTGGACCACAGAACCCAGGAACAAGGAGATCTGGTGGACAGGGCAAGAGCACTGTAGGGGGCACTGGCAACTCAGCTGGGAGCCCAGTGTCCGTGGGGGAGGGCATTGTGGAACGAGCAGCACAGTGGGGAGTTCTGGACCCAGCGGTGGCCAGGGAGCTCTAGCCCCAGCCCTATTCTGGCTCCAGAGGCCTGGGCGCTTCAGCCCCTGCGGCAGCCAGGAAGCTCTGGCCCTCCACCCCGGCCCTGGAGCCAGGTGGCTGTGGAGCTGTGCCTCAGCTGCAGAGCTCTGGCCCTGTTATCAGCCAGGCCAGCGGCATCTAGAGAGCCCTGAAGGGCTGGGGCAGCAGTGGGGGCAGGCTGGAACCCTAGCTCAGGGGCAGCACAGGCCAGAAGGGGAGGGTCCTCCCCGGTCCGGCAAATTCCCTCATTTGGGACTAGTCAGGTCCCATGGGCACCGGACCAGCACGGTCCATCCTGTAGTAAGTACACCATGTGCTTGGACTGGAGAGTTCCTCATAGGTGTTTGGTCCCATAAACATGCTAAGGTCTGTGCCACTGACAGAATAATTATGCTTTCAGAGTGTCACTTGCAGATTATAACGTAAAGAGAGAAACAGCTTGCTAGATGTGCTATATTGCTATATTTTCCAAGAGAATTCAAGGTCTTTCGTAGCCAAATGCATATTAATACATTTAATACAGATATTTAAAGAAAATCAGAAAAAAGTAAGTTGATTTCAAAGACACACAATGCATGTCAGAGAAGGCGCTTCAGTAAATTATAGAGTAGCACAAAAATGCACACTTTGGGTACGTCTACACTGCAATTACACACCTATGGCTGGCCTGTGTCAGCTAACTTGAGTTATGAAATTGCTGTGCAGATGGTTAAGACTTGGGCTGGTGCCCAAGCTCTGGGACTCCGCATATGTTTTAGTTACAACTAGGAGGCCCTCCCAGATTGCAGTGTCCTGGGGGCTGCAGCCTGAGCCCAGAAATCTACCTTGCAATGAAACAGAAACTTAGCCCAAGCCAGCAGGCATGGGCCAGCTACAGGTTTTTAACTGCAACATAGACATCACCTGTTCCATCATAGGGCCCTTTAGCTCAGATTTCAGACTGAGCCCAAACCTCTACACTGTAATTTTATAGCTTGGAAGCCAGAGCTCCATGAACCTGAGTCAGCTGACAAAGTCCAGCTGTGGGTGTTTAGCTGCAGTGTACACATACCCTTTGCTTGTTTACATTGCAAAGAAAAAACAACGGCAGAGTCTTAGAACCTGGGTCAACTGATTTGGACTTATGGGCCTGAGCTGCAGGACTAAAAAAGATAGTGTAGAAGTTCCTACTTGGGGAGGAGCTCAAGCTCCAGACCCACCCCATGTCGTTTTCTGGTCCAAACTAGACTGTCTACACTACTATTTTTAGTTCCACAGCCTGAGCCCAAGCTTTGAGATTTGGTACTGTGGATTTTCCTTCACAGTGCATACAGAACTGAAAACAGAGCTTTTTTATGTAAGCTCAGGGAAAGTAATATTTTTCCTGACAATCTGCTACTTGACAAGACTCTACTGCTTTCTGACACAGCAGATATTAACTATTGATAGTACAGCTTCATAACATTTCAGAGCTTCTATCATATCTTAAATGGGTATAAAATACTTCCCAATTGCTCACTCTTTCTATTTTCTGTCTTCAGGAATTTATACATAATAAAAAGATGGCAGAATTTGGACAAATAATTAAGTAAATTAAATTCAGTTTATTTTATGTTCTAGCTCAACCAGATGTCACAGGTCTGATGCAGGACCCACTTGTGCTATGCAGGAGGTCATACTAGGGATGTAAGCGACTAGTTGACTAGTGATTTGGCTAGTCACTTCTCCCCCTCCTTCCCCTTGCTGTTTCTATTAGAGAGAGGCAGCAAGTGGGAGGCAAAAGGAGCTGATGCTGAGGGGAGCCGGCTTAAAAGCCAGTTCCCCCCAGCATCATCTCTGTGGGGGACAGGGCAGATAGAGGGACAGGAGAAAACAGCACGAGCGGAGACTAAAGCAGTCTCTGCTTGCGCCGGTTCTGATGTGATTCTGCTTTTGAAATGTACAAGAGCTGCAATGGACTTTCTTGCTCTGGTTCTTATACATTTCAAAGGCTGAGGTGCTGCAGGAGCTTCTGCTTTTGAACCCTCAGCAGGGCTCTTGCTATAGTTCAAAGACGGAGGTGCCCTCATCAACTAATTGATGGAAATCCCTATGTGAAAGGTTGACTATATGAAATCCCAATCCTTATCTGGGCCTTTGAACACTACCACAACTAAAATAATAAATATACACACTTCTGTCCCTTGTAAGTAAATGAAAGATGACGAAAGATTAACAATCCTAAAAACTGAAGTTCTCTACTGTAGAACAGGCATATAATCCCTGCTGGCAGAGGGACCACAATTCTAAAAGATAATTCAGTCCATTACCTATCTAATCTTTGGCCTCTAAGATGTTTAACAAGTGTGCCATGTGGTGACAGTTTTTGCGATATACACACTTCCATTTTAGGAATCAGGTTAAGCCTACTAACTTATTTTACAGGCTACCAAACAGTCTTCAGATAATTCGTGACCAGGGATGTTAATGGGTAGTTGGTTAAACGGGTGATGCTTACCGAGTTACAGTTAAACGGTACCCAGGAATGGCTTAGCAGCAGGTAAAGGGCTGCTCCAGCTCTGACCCTCCCCTCCAGCAGGGTTGCTGGCCCCTGAGAGAAGGGCAGAACCAAGCAGTCCCAATGGGGGTGAGGGCCCCCCTTGTCCACACCCCATTTAATCAATTAAATGGGTAAATGCAGTGTCAGCACTGTGTTTACCCATTAAACCAATTACACAGGATTTTACATCCCTGGTAGTGACAATATTTGTTCAGGCAATAAGTAAACAGAGTACTTAAGATTGTTTGCTGTGGTGTTACAGCCATGTTGTCTCTAATATCCTGGGACCAAAGTAGGTGAGATAATTTGGTCCAATAAGAAATATTCTGCTGGTGAAGGAGATGAGCTTTTGATTTACACAGAGATCTTCTTCAGGTTGAATTATATGTATATATTCACAACTAAAATGGAATCACTTATTTTTACTATCTAGCTTATAAGCTATTCTAACTAACAGAAGATATTTATACCAATTTGCAGGTTCAATTAATCAGCAAATTAGGATCTAAATTTATAGTACCTAATACAGGCTGGTTTTCATATAAACTGCAATTTTTCAGC